AATCATAATCATAGATTGATCATAATCATAGATTAATCATAATCATAACCCTCCAAATGGGTCATAATCATAATCATAATCATAGATTAATCATAATCATAATCTATGATTATGATTATGGCCCACCTCCAAATGGTCATAATCATAATCATAATCATGACTATGACAATCATGATCATCATAGTCATTATTGTTCACCTCCAAATGGGTCTAAATTCCAAAAAGGGGCCACAGAGGTAACAGTTTAACATCCTCACCCCCAAGAATCAAACCCCCCCCCCAAAAATCCCAATTTTCATCATATACCCTACAGTTGTCCACCGCAGACTAGATTTATTCTGAATTTTAAGTGCCACCATCGCCTTCACCGCTGGGCTTCCTTCATCCCATGCCATCTCTCTTTTGGCTGAATTTTCTGCAAGAATACACTTACAGCAGATAAAACAGGGCAGAAATTCAAAGTATTACCCATTCAGGACCCCCAATTCACACACACATATATACACACACACACACCTTGTGCCCCCAGATGATCAAATTGGGCTGAATTTGCTTGCACTACAGAGCCCTTTCTGTCTCGCTTGCCTCCTCAATGGTTGTTTTCCCCTGAATTTTTCTCATGGCTGGCATAACCCAAATGCTTGGACATCCCACACAGAGTCCTCCTCTCATTTATTATTCCATTTTTAATTGTCTGCCAAAAAAAAAAAAAGACCAAGGATTGGTGCCATCTGTGGCCACATCTCTGTGCATTTTCGGAAGTCAACCCCAGAATTTAAAAACCACAAGGTTGTCGTTCTGCGATCAAATCGATCGATCGATCGATGGATTTGTCTCCCACTTGTTTCCCAAAATTGGGACCCAAAGCATCTAAAAACTTACAAAAATGCCATATGAAAACTTACAAAAAAGTGACAAATAAAAATGGAATTAAAACTGTTGCAAAATTAATGGATCAATGGTTTAAAAACAGAATGCAATTTTTTAAAAAGTATGGGGGGAGAGAGGGAGATGTAGCATCAACGTCAACCAAAAACCATCAATAATAAAGATTGGATAGCAAGGTAGAAAGAAGACAGAGAACAATATTGATAAAGAATAGCGAAGAGGTTTCTTTTCATTATTTGCGTTAACAAGGGATAATTAATTTTGAAATAAGATTAAGGAATATAGATGAACCTCCCCCCCAAAAAAGCAGAAGGAAATGAGAATAAACCAAAATAATGGAATATATATATAGTAAGTAGGCAAGCTAGCTATAGAATTAAAAACCACTTAAGAGACAGGCTTTAAGACTGCTTTTGCCTTGCAGAATGAATGCAATTTGACACTGCTATAGCTGCCATGGCACCATGCTATGGAATTCTGGGATTTGTAATTTTGTGAGTGATTTACCCCCTTTCTCTGTCAGAGCGCTCTGCTGCCACCGCAAACTACAAATCCCAGAGGATTAGCAGAATTAATCAACACTGCAGAATTAATGCAGTTTGACACTGCTTTAACAGCCATGGTGCAATGCAATGGAATTCTGGGATCTGTCATTTTGTGCATGATTTAGCTCAGAGAACTCTGGTGTCACCACAAATTACAAACCCCAGGATTCCAGAGGATGGAGCCATGGCTAAACAGAATTAATGCAATTTGAGACTGCTTTAATGGCCATGGCTCCATGCTATGGAATTCTGGGGGTTGTAGCTTTGCGAGATATTTAGCCTTCTGTGTGAGAGAGCCCTCGTGCAAGAACAAACTACAAATCCCAGCATTCCATAGCACTGAGCCCAAACAGTTCAAGTGGTGTTAAACTGGATTATTTCTGTAGCATGGCCACAGCTATAGTTATTTAGATGAATTTCTTTTTTTTTTCCACCCTAAAAAAAGGTCTCTTTCTCAATTTGAAAAATACCTCCTATTAATCAGACTGTAGGCTTGAAATCCTTTGTAAGATTATGGTATTATTATTATTATTATTATTATTATTATTATTATTATTATGGTTTTATGCCATGTATGTTTTTAATCTGTATTTGTACTTGTAAGCCACCTTGATTGCCAAGGCAAAAGGCAGGGTATAAGAAATTATTATTATTATTATTATTATTATTATTATTATTATTAGAACAGGTGGCAAGGGCAGCCTTGCAAGATGCCATCTTCCCTCCTTGTTCTTTGCTAGACAGAAGGGAATGTCTCTTCCAAGATGATGCCTACTGAGACCGGAGCATGCATGCATCATCTCAAAATAAAACATGCTCATTGTCTACTGTTGTTTTGTCCAGATGCAGATTTATGCAGATTTAATCCGTTAAAGCATATCAGCTAAGGATTATTACTCATGGGGTGATGGTCTTGCCAGCAAGACGCGGAACGAGGGAGAGAAAAGACGAGAAAAACGATAGAAAAGGATGAGTGGATCGTATGAGATCAGGTCCTGCTGGTGACAGATCCTTTGGGTTCTCATTTCAGACAAGAAACATCCATTAGTTCAAAACATGACAATTAGATTCGTTCCTGGTCCATCAAGGACTTATCAGATTGCACCAATATTAAAATAGACCAGCAAGCAGACAATTATTTTTTGGGGGGGCAAGGTACAAATAATAATAATAATAATAATAATAATAATAATAATAATAATAATAATAATAATAATAGATTATTTATTTATAGCCTGCCCAATTGGTGGGTACTACTACTGTTGTGGTTATTACTGTTGCTGTTATTGTTTTTGGGTGCCTTCAAGTCATTTTCCAATTTACTGTGACCATAAGGCGAAACTTTCATGGGGTTTTCTTGACACATTTCTTCTTGCCCTCATGCAAGAACAAACTACAAATCCCTCCTCATTCTTCTTGGGTGCCTTCAAGTCATTTCTGACATATGGCGACTCTAGAGGCGAACCTATCCTGGGGTTTTCTTGGCAAGACTTGTTCAGAGGAGGTCCGCCTTCCTCTGAGGCTGAGAGAGTGTGATCCTGGTGGGTTTCCATGTCTGTGCTAGGATTCGAACCCTGGTCTCTAGAATCCTAGTCCAGTGCTCCGAGTGCCTCTTCTGAAATCGGAAACGGTACCCGCTTGCTTGCCCTTTACAGCACTTGATAGCTGCATCCATTGCCTGGGCAGCTTTTCCATGGCCTCCTGGACCAACATTTGCAAATATATAAATAAATCCGTCGTGGGGAAGAAAAGAAAAAGGCATTGTTCAGCTTGAAGCCGCAGGGAGGAATTGGAGCGTTTGTGTCAGAGGAGGGGAAAAACAATGTCTTCTGAGCTGAACAGGGGTTCTTTCTTTTATTATTATTATTATTATTATTATTATTATTATTATTATTATTATTATTATTATTCATGGCTGCTGGGAGCAATGAAAACTTTGCTAGAGCATTAAACCAAGAGCCTTCCTTCCCAGCTGCTTTAATGGCATTTCAATGGCTCTGGCATCTGAGCTTGGACCGATGGGAAGGAGCAAGCCAATGCCCAACAAAAACACAAGAATACACAATAATAATGTGGGTTGTAACAACGGCAATGCCCAGATGAGCCATGCGCAAGGCTCCATGCTGAGAAACAAAAGATACGTCGCTATATTATTGGAAACCAACACGAAACAGATAGAAAAGCAACTTGCAAACAGTTAGTAGGAGATGTCTGGCAGAAAAATCCAACTGTGAAGCTGTCCTGGGGAGTCCTTGTATTCTTAAGAAGATATTAATTCCCCTTTGTTGTATAGTTTTATTTTTTTCCCAGTTTGGACAAATGCATTGCTAATCGAGCATTATAATTTTAACAGCCCACATTATTGCAAACCTGGTTGTGTTATTGGTATTGTTGAGGTCAAGTAGGGCTACGGTGTTTTTTCTTTTCTTTAGTCACACTCTCTCAGCCTCAGAGGATGTGCCATGGCAAACCCTCTCTGAAGAAATAGGCCAACAAAACCCCACAATAGGATGGCCATATGTTGGAAATGACTCGAAGGCACACAAGAACAACAGACATTGGCCCTAACAAATACCCTAAAGCAGTGAGTCCCAAACATTGGACCTCCAGGTGTTTGGGGACTTCAACTCCCAGAAGCCCCAGCCAGCTTGGCCAACGGTCAGGAACTCTGGGAGCGGAAGTCCAAAACATCTGGAGGACCCAAGTTTGGGAGCCACTGCCCTAAAGGTTCTTGATCCTGTCTGATCTTGGAAGGTAAGCAGGGATAGGCCTGGTTAGGACTTGGATGGGAGACAGCCAATGAACCCTAGGCTCTATTAAGGAAACCACCTCTGAGCTTTCCTTGCCTAAGAAAACTCTATGAAATGCATGGCATCGCCATAAGTCGACAGGGGATTTGACGGCACAGACACATATATACATGCATCAAAGTCCCCCAAAGGATGCTGACCATTATTTTATATTGGGGTGAGAGAATGTCAGAGGTTAGAGGACTGCAGTGGACCTCCAGGAGACACACAGCTACAATCCTCTTCAAAAAAATCAATTTTAATTTTATTATTATTATTATTATTGTTCCAAAATGTCTCCAAACCTTGTTGATTGTGTGCCTTCAAGTCATTTCTGACTTATGGCAACACTAAGGCAAACCTATCATGGGCACGTTTCTTCAGAGGGGGTTTGCCATGGCCATCCTCTGAGGCTGAGAGAGTGTGACTTGCCCGAGGTCACCCAGTGGGTTTCCATGGCCGAGCAGGGAATCGAACCCTGGTTTCCAGAGTCATAGTCCAGCACTCAAACCATGAAACTACTCTGGCTCCCAAACCTTGCCTGGGTCTAAAATGCCCCAGGGACCCCCCAAAAAAAAGTGATGAAAAGGGGGTGGTAGGGATGATTTTTATTTTTGTAAACCCTGTTGCCTGTACTTTGCCATCTCTTCTTTTATACCATATACTGCTATATTCTTGAGTTTGTTTTGCTAACTGTTACATCTGGACTCAAGCTTTCCTCTTTGTTGTGTCTGTTTGGGGGATATTTGCAACTACTAAGAGGTGTCTCAAGAGAGATCCAGAGATTCATGTATTTATTATTTGTTGCAGAGCTTGGAAACAATGAGTTAGAAGTAACATAACTGGTTCCTTTTGGAGAAGGAACCAGCCAAATTACATTTAAAAAACAAAGTAACCAGTGAGAGCTGGTGTTAACAAGTAACAGTTTCTAGTTAACTTTCAAAAGTGACTTTAAAGGGCAATTTTGGACTTTCCCCAAGTTTTATTATGCTGCTCTCTTATTAATCCTGAAGGCTTTTCCCACTTTGAAAAAAGAAACAATAATGGATAACTTAACAAAGGAATTCAACAAGTTACAGAATGACTCAACTACCGCCATAAGTAACAGGAGCACCATCACTTTCAAAAACGCTGGCAACTAGCAACGAAGCAAACTAGTTTTGGAAAATATAGTGAGGAGAACTATGAGACCCACAGAGTCTCCATTTGGGGCGAAACTCAACCGTGGCCTTTATTGATGGAGAACCAATATTGGTAGAAACCAAGGAGAACTTGGACAGGTTGGGCATCGGGTGGTTGGGTTTTTATGGATTTGTTTTACCAAGACCTTTTAAAATTCTTCTTTCTTTGGTGCTGTGCAGGTGCTGGGTTGCCTTGTGTGGGCTCTCATTGCGGACACATATTACCAACCCTATCCTTCGTACGGCTGGGTGATGTTTGTTGCCATCTTCTTCTGGATGGTGACGGTCATCATCTTTGGCATGCATTTATTGAAACTCCAGGCAAAGCTCTCTATGATCCCTTGGCCCCTTGTGGTAAGTATTGAGAACCGGGGAGAGAGGGACTGTTCTGGAAAACCAGGAATAAAATTGCACCCTTGCCGATTTTTTGTTTTACTTCTGTAAAACCAGGAGCAAAGTTGCATCCTTGCTGACTTTTGTTTTACTTCCGTAAAACCAGGAGTAAAATTGCACCCTCTCTGACTTTCGTTTTACTTCTGTAAAACCAGGAGTAAAGTTGCACCCTCTCTGACTTTTGTTTTACTTCTGTAAAACCAGGAGCAACGTTGCATCCTTGCTGACTTTCATTTTACTTCTGTAAAACCAGGAGTAAAGTTGCACCCTTGCTGACTTTCGTTTTACTTTTGTAAAACCAGGAGCAAAGTTGCATCCTTGCTGATTTTTGTTTTGCAAAATTGACTCACCCTGTTTCAGAGAAGGCATGCCAGCTAGATAAAATATCTGTTTGCTTTTCTTACATTTTTCTTACAGTTAATCCTACTGTAAGTGTACCAAAGGGTCATCTTATATTGTAAGGCCAGAATTCCCTCAGCCTTCATGGTTACTATTATGAAATGCACACACTCTGAACGCAGAGAGTGAAAAGAAAAATGTGCTTGAAAAAGACAGATGGATACTGGTTCTGCAAATGAGGATGCCTGCAAAATCATCTGCTTTCAGGCTATAATCCTGTGCAAAATTACATGGTAGTCAGCTATATGAGATTTGAACAGGATTGTGAAGCCGGTTGTTTTCCATAATCATAGAATTATGCATTGTTAAAGGACCACCGAGAGATGGGTGTCCAACCTCTGTTTAAAAATCCAAGAAAGGAGTTTATTCCACTGTCAAACAACTCATACTGCCAGGATGTCCTCCCCAATATTTAGGCTACATCCGCACTGCAGAAATAACGTAGTTTGACACCGCATTAACTGCCGCGGCTCAATGCTATGGAAGTTGTAGTTTTAAGAAACATTTAGCCTTCTCTGTCAGAGAGCTCTGTGCCATTTTGTCATTTGCCTAAGCAGCGCAATGTCTTGGGTGTGTGTTTGTGTGTGTCAAGAGGAAGGATGCTGCATCCATGCCACTGCAAAAATGTATTTGCTCCAAAGGCTATTAGCAGAGAGGCTGGTCTGGGATTCCTCTTGCATGCATTAAAGTGCAACACACCATCAGGACCCATAACAGCTGTGCACAATTCTCACTCAAGACCCTCTTTCTCTCCTTCCACCTCCAGCTAATGATTTTCAATATTTCGGCTGCAGTCTTGTACGCGACGGCCTTCATAACAAGTGCAGCATCCGTTGAACCCTTCTCCTGGCCACATTCGCCGGACTACAATAGAAGAGCTTCTGCATCGGTCAGTGACAGGTCCCCACACATCTTTCTATCAAATTTGTTGCAAAGACTAGCTATTCCTTCCTTAAAGCTGAGCCATAGAAGGGAAGCCAGATTAATCACAAGGGATACATCTCCCTGGTTTGCTGGGTCTCCATAAATCCAAGGTGATCTAGTGCTAAGAGTGCTGGGCTGGGATTTGGGAGATCCAGGTTGCATTCCCCATGGAGTCCTGGACATGTATCCCTTGTGATTAACCTGGTTTCCCTTCCACAGTGAAACTTCCTCAGAGACACAGGAATCAGACTAGGAAATTAAGCCCATATTGAACCTGCAAATGTTCAGTCACAAAGCAAAGCATGTGAAGTGCAAGATACATAGGCGAGGGTAGTCGCCAGGCTATGATAAGCAGACACCTTTCACCACTCGAGGGAGCATCTTTTCAAAGAAAACGTGCTGAACATATTGTCCAGTTTGGTCCTCACTGGGTGACCATCCACCAGTTACTCCATTAGCTTGACCTACCCTATAAATTTCCTGTGACAATGAAAAGGAAAAAGAGAAGGAGAGCCATGTGTATTTTTTTGATCCGGTGGAGAAATGTGACAGATATATATAAGGAAGTGACACTTTCTTCTTTTATGCTCTGACTGTGTATTCCTGCATGGCAAGGAGTTGGACATGGTGACCCTAGAGGTCTCTTCCAACTATGATTCTATGGTCTGTGGCCCATATTGCCTCTGTACTATATTCCTCTTGCCCATCCCCACCCTTGCCATCTGCTCTTTAGAATAAATAATGGAGATTGCATGCTAGGGCATCATCATTTTATGCCTGCATTCAGGGCTTGCAGTGCCAGCCATGATGTAATGCTCCGTAAACTGGGAGAGCAGCTGAGGCTACATCATGCATTCGATCCTCCTTTTCATCTCTTCTCTCCCAATTTTCAGCTCTCTGTGTCAGTTCCAGCCACGAAGTTGAAAGGAATTGTGTAGGGGCTAGAACGGAGTTTGATTCCCAGCTCAGCCATGACACCCACTGGGGCAAGTCACACTCTCTCAGCCTTAGAAGACAATGGAAAAGATCTGAACAGATCTTGCCAGGAAAACCCCATGATTGCTTTGCCTTAGGGTCGCCCTAAGTTGGAAACAACTTGAAGGAGCACAACAACAACAAAGACAGAGTCTAGGATCCTGCATCCTTGTGGAGAGAAAAACCCAGAGAATTTCACTTACGTTATTCAGATTAAAATAAACCATTTCTTCCAAGTCATTATAACTATTAATGCAGTCTCTGCAACCCTTTGCATTAGCCACACTGGTTATTGTTGATGCGATCCAACAATATGTGATGTAGGGATGTCATTCCTCGCTAAGTTTCCTCTTGAAGGAAAGAATGAGACATTTTAGCATTTTTCTTCCACTGTGGGAATGTCTTCAAACACAACCAGTTTCTGAAGACTATTCGCAATATGGGCCTTATTCTGTGCAAAATTCACAAGTGGCTGTTTTGCACAGAAAATTGCATTTTCTGTGCAAAAACACCAAGTGTAAGCAGTATTTCTCAATACATTATTTTCTGCACACCCCCCCCCCAAAAAAGCAATTTTCTGTGCCTATCATCCGCACACAAATTTTGCACGGAATAAGTCCCTAAGTCCAGCATTTTTAGGAAACAGTTTGCGTCTGCTCAAGAAATATGGCGTTTTTTTCTGGGTATAAATATTTTCTGCACAGAAAGTGCTGTTTTCTCTACAAATCATCCCTGTGTGAATTTTGTGCAGAATAAGCCCTGAACTGTGAAGATTTTCCTTGTCAGGGTTTCTCAACACTGAAAAAAAAAAAAAAAAAACATTTTTTCTACCATTTCCCAAATATTTTCAAATATTCTTTCTCTCCCTAATGTGCAGTGGTCCACATTCTCCATTTCTATTGTCCTGAATGCACTGGAAGTCTCAAAGAACGATGAGATCTTTAGCACTTTCAACTTCCTATGTACTTAAATGTATTTTTACAACATAATTCAGCTGAAAAGGCACCTAGGAAGGCACATAAAATCAACAAAAAGATAACCAAGAAAGTCTCTGACCCCAAAGTTATAACTGAATCTTCCTAAGTGGTTGAAGGTTCCTGATTGCTTATATGAGTAACTGAGATCCATGGGGACCTCCATCTTCTTAGGGTTATCCTCTGGTTATGGATAGACAGAATTTGGCCCAGTTGACTTCTTTTGGCTTTGGGAGACCATCCCCTGGGAGGGGGAGATTGCAGAATAAAGACTCTCATTGATCTCTTACATGCGGATAAGTTCCCTAACAGAAGTGGCTGGAATATGTTTGTCTCATGTAGAGTGGATATATTGTTTTAAGCTGGCAGAGACAGGGTTGCCCACACGGGACTGTTGCACATGATGCCTCATGGCATGGAGATCATAAGCATTGTGCATTGTCTGTGCAGCACATGTGGGAGATGTGCATGTACATTTCATGGCACATCTGGCGGTGCAGTTTTGCAATTTGCAAACAAGGCTACCACTGCATTGTTCTCTGAGAGTGAGTGATGCTCTTTCCACTTGATATAAAAGCCAGTGTTCCCAGGAGCCTCCAGAAAGCAGTTTATCCTGTCTAACAAGAGTAGACAACTGACAGAGACCAATTTGCCCCCCTGATCCTTCCATGAGACACTCTGT